TGGTTCTTGATGGAAGTTTCTGGTCTATTTTACTGTCTAGCTACTTGGGGAATTCAGGCACTAGAGACATAGAAACAGCTTTTTTTTTAGAAGATGAACTGTGTCAAGTTGTTTTATCAGCACACTCATGTATAGTAAACCCATGAACTGATTCATGGATGGACTGTATGAAATGTGAGCTGTTGGAACCAAGGGAATGGAATTTCTCCCAGAAGAAGAGGGAAGAATGGAATTTCTCTCAGAAGAAGAGGGAAGATGAGCTGATCTCCCATTGTAACCTACACCAAAGTGAAAAATGTGAAGCTGCATGTAGAAGTTAAGGACCATATACACTCAGATCAACCACACCAACTTATATTCCCACCTTCTAAAGAACTTATATCCAAGTGAAACTCTACCAGCATTTTGAATTAATAAAGTGTATTATAGATTTTTTTTCTGTGCAATTAATTGGATTAAATAGTATATTATTGCCTTGAAAATTTTTATTTCTTCAACCAAACTGTCATTCTTTCTTACACAATTTTTTAGGAAACAATTTATGGTGCAGATTTCATCAACAGAATTTCAGTTTAACAAAATCTACTGAGTGTTAACAGTCTCAGGAAATAACTGAGATCACTAGCTTGAAGTGTTTTATTTTACAGCATGTTTTTATCAGGATATATATCAAAAACAAATAATCCTCAGGCCAAAACTTTTTTATACTCTGGAGCTTCTTCCCCCATGAATCCATGAGAGATTTGCCTTGATAGCTTCTATTAACACAAGTGGGAGTTGCAAGCCAATCCCCTATGCATTGTTTGAAGAACTTATCTCAAAGCATTGCCCAAAGCAAATTTTTATGATAGTTTAGCACCCCTGGGAACAGGGATTTATAATGGCAACAACTGAAAAAGACCCTAATCTATAGTTTAGTGATGGGAATAAGAGTACTGCTATACATTTTCAGTTATTATGCTGCTGAACTTGAACTCCAAATTGTTTCCTTCTTGAAGAAATATTTGAAGTAGTTTTATTGAAATAACTATTATAATGCTTTAAAGTTTCTGAAGTATTTTAATATTGTCTCAGATTTCAACCTTTCTTTCCATTCCTCAGTCAAACCACGCAATATTTAACAACATGCATTATTAACAGAAACTATATAAAGCCCTTAAAAACCACCATGTAAAGCAACACTCTTGTATGTATAACTTTAAAATAATGTTTTCCTAATATCTATACATTTAATCTATTATTATTTACTGTGATAAAGGATCTAACTTGTTCTTTGGGTAATCATCTCTGTTTTAAAAACTTCCAAAGGAAATAAGAAATAAGACTTAAGCTAAATGGCATGATTAATGCTCTGCAAATAATCTTGTCGATATTATATATTGACAATTATATAATATCAAGGCTGATAATAGCATATAAAATTAGAATTCTATTTAAATTTGATATTTTTAAAAATCTTTTACCAAGGTAAATGTTTACTGTTTTGTAATTTTATAATTTTTGCTAGGTTTGAAAAATACTAATGAAAACAAAGGAAAGTTTCAAAAGTTAATGAAAGGAGTGAGAGGTTGATACTAGGTTTTTCCTGGCCATGTTTTTGGATCTTATGGAGAGAAAAAAACTTTCTTAAAATATATAATGGTGAAGTATTTTGTTTTCCATATGAAGTAAGAATTTTTATTTATAAAGGCAGGTTTTGAAGAACCTTGAAAAAAATTGTCAAATTTTGGTCTAGTTTAATTCTCTTTGATCCCACATAGCATCATGTGTAGCCTAAGTAATGTACTTTCACTAAAGTGAATCCTTTTACTCAAAGTCAAAGAATCACAAAGTGGCTGAGGATGGAAGGGACCTCTGCAAGTCATCTGGTCCAATGCCCCTGCTCAAGCAGGGCCTCCTAAAGCTGGTTTCCCAGGACCACATCCAGACCACTTTTGAATATCTCCAAGGAGGGAGATTCCACAACTCCCAGGACAACCTGTGCCGATGGTCAGTCACACTCACAGTGAAAAAAATGTTTCCTGATGTTCAGACAGAGCTTTCTGCATTTCAGTCTGTTCCCTTGCCTCTGTCACTGGGTCACTGAAAAAACCATGGCTGTTCCTTTTGTACCTTCCCTTCAGGTATTTATAGGCATTCATAAGACCATCCTGAAGCTTCTACCAGGCTGAACAGTCCCAGCTCTCTCAGCCTTTCCTCATAGGAGAGATACTTCAGTCTCTTACCATATTTCTGGCCTTTCATTGAACTTTCACCAATATGTCCATGTCTCGCCTATACTAGGGAACACAGAACTGGGCACAGTTCTCCAGGTGTGGCCTCACCAGTGTTGAGAAGGGAAAGATCACATCCCTTGATCTGCTGAAAACACTCTTCCTAATGCAGCCCAGGATACCACTAGCCTTCTTTGCCACCACAGCACATTACAGCTCATACAGGAACCTCAGGTCCTCTTCTGCAAAGCTGCTTTCCACACGGTTGCCACCCAGCAGATACCAGGTCATGGCATTGTTGTTCCCCAGGCCTTTGTGTTTCCCCTTCTGAAACTTCACGAGATTCCTGTCAGCCCATTTCTCTAGTCTGTTGAGGTCCCTCCAGATGGCTGCACAAACCCTCTGATATATAAACCACTCCTCACTGTTTTGTGTCATCAGCAAACTTACCCCATCATTCAAATCATTTCATGTTATTTAAAATGTTCTATCTTTTTTCATTGTCTCCAAGCATTTTTCTCTCTTTCTCTCCATCTTTTACTAGCTCTTTGGTGCTCCCAACAACAGGAATTATTGTTCTGAGCTCCAAACAATTCAGCCATGCTGGCTGGTATACTCAGAAATCAAAGTGAACCTAAACTGTGTAAGGAGCAATGGAAAATCTTAAGTGAGGAAGAAATTCAATCTCAAATGTCATACTGCAGTGGCAGAGAAAGGTGTAATGGAAAGACTAAGTCAGCAGCCAGTTCATTAATTGCTGTCGGCTCTGTGTATTCACACATAGTACTCCAAACTGCACTATCCTTGTTGATATCTCTACATAAGGTGTAGAAAACAGTAGAAACATTTCATCATCAGGTATTGGGGCCTTAAGAACTAAAAGTTGGGGTTAGAACTGTGTTTCCTTGTATTAATGAATTTTGTACACCACTCAGATGGAAGCTAAGTTATAACATTGTCTCTGAACCAGTTTGAGTGGAACATAGATTTAATATGAAAACAAATTATGAAATTGTGTACTCTCCTCATAAAAATATATTGGGATGAATCCAAGACTTATCAAATCTGTCGCAGTTACTGTACAGAGATTAATTTGTACTGTTTGTCTGGAATCAAGTTTTAACTGGATTCAGGAAAGATAAGATCATGCAGGTATAAACTAATTTGGTCCACTATTTTGAAATGTAAATTTTGTAAGAATTGAATGTCTAAAAATATCTGGAATAATTGAACTCCATTAATGTATTGTTCAATTAGCTTCCACTTGTGGGAATATTGATACAGCTGACATGCTATTTCCTGACAGTCTTTATTGTTCTTAAATGATTTTAACCTGGCTTACTTATCTGTGCAAGAAGGTTGTATTTTGAACAATGGTAAAAGCCAAGTGGTTAGTTTGGGGTTTTCTTCAATGAATTAATCCCTGACTTCTTTGTCAAACTATTAGCTTTTGATGTGTGAGCTCTATGTCCTCTAACATAGTCATAATATGCCTTGTCTTCATCCTAAACACAGATATCTGTACATCAAAATTCCCATCCCTACTTCATATAATATTAACTTGCAAAGCTTAATCTTTCCAACAAATTTCTAACAGGTTCCAGGGATTTTCCTTAATAATAACCATACTCTTTTTTTCTCTCCTTCTAACAGTCAGATGAATGATTCAAAATGTTTTCTCTGAATGAAGATGACCAGTCTCCTTATCTGTGAGTTCTTGTACCCATACAAAGTGTGCTACACACATCCTTTTTTGCTGTTTTGTATTTGTCTGAAATGGATTATAGCAGTTTCATTTTTCTTGGTATCTACATTAAAGTAGTATACTACATAAATAGAAAAATCACATTGACCCTGAATATATTTGCAACACTATTTCATATTATGGACATATTCAGATTTCATTTACACTGGCCTCCACCTAGGCAAGCTGCTCATGAAGGGAATAAATTGAGAATGAAACACAGATCACTGTAATGAAAATCAATGTTAAATATATCCCATACTTTCTAGGAATAAAAAGCAAACAGGTTGCTGTCTGTTTTGAATAGCTGCATAAAAATGTTGTACACAAAATAATCTGTCATGAGTTTTCTGCATTCAGAATAAATATTTCTGAATTGTTTTAAACATTGTTCCATTATTTCTTGTACAAGTAGAATTCCAGCTTATTTATTAAAACCTGAGGGGCCATCACATGATAGGTTGTAATCAATAAAACTTATGCCAACTGATGTTATTCGGTATGTCAAGTCATATTGCTACAGGATGTTACAAAGCACTAACTTGTTTGCAGTGTTCTTTTCTACCTTCTTAGCTATGACTCAGGAATTGTTTCTCATAACTATACCAACAAGGAAAAAAAACCAAATTCTATTCCGTTCATTTCTAACAAAAGACAAAAACACACTAACAAAAGCAATAGAAAATTCTGCTCTAAAGCACCGTTACTGCATTGCCTCAGATGCATTACACAAACTAAATAAATTACTTTCTGGTAAAAAACTTGCATGATCACTCGGTCACATCAGCATGTTGCCAAACCTGACTAATCTAAGCAAACAAAGCAACCAACCAATCAACCCACAAATTATATTTGACATCATCAGATCATCTGAAACAGTACAGCATTCATCCAGATTAGCTTGGTGTACATATTTTAAGGAATAACCTAGAGTTTATATATAAGATTTTTTTTCTCTGCATTGCGGAGGTTAGGGAAGAGAAGACTCTTTGGAAGGCAAAAGATACAAGAACAGAATCATCAATGTGATGTTTTATGGTAGATATTCACAAGGGAATGATGAGGCCAAGGTAAGTACTGTCCTTAAAATGCACTACTACCAGTTCTATGACTCTTCAGGAATCAGCTGTTTAAAGCTGGTTTTGTTAATCTAATATGTATTTACATATATCCAGAGACAGGACAGGATTTCTGTTGCCATTTGTTTTTTGACAACTGGTCTGCTATTTAGTTCTCATACATTCTTTCATTAATGTCTTGGACATCTCAGGAAAAGAAGACAAGACACCAGGAATGTGGTTTAAGTAGGCCGTGACTTCATAAATAACACATCTGGGAACCATCTGGCAATGACTCGTCCAGTGCAGGTCATACTTCCTTTGTAATCCATACCACGTGGTGGCAAACTGCCATCAGCTCTCCCCCCTGCTAATATGGCCTTAGCATCACTCCTGAGACCCATGGGCCCCCTTCCCCTTAAAAGGACTGAAAATAAAGGGGCTGTATCCCAACTCGAATGTAGCCCCAACTTTCTTTCTAGTCCTCTGTTCCCTTCTCACTGCTGTTTACATTTTATCATGAAGTCAAATCCTTAGTCAATAATTACCTTCACTGGAAATTTGCTGCAGTGAGGCAACAACTTTTCTACCCTGGCCAAATTCTCACATTGTCAATAATTGCTTCCATTAGAGCGGATAACATCATATTCCTTTTCAAGTAAGAAATTTGAATAGAACACTTGAAAATATTGAAAGCACACTTCAAATGAATAGTTACCTGATTTTTCTCTTCAGTTAATTTATAAATCAGCGAAATTCCTCCTGTGATCACCTAAACTTTCTGGTGTGGTGTCCTGAAATCAGTCATTTTACTGTAATATGATCAGGCTGTACTTATGACCTCTTTTCCTAATCTAAATTCTGCCATTATTTTTCCCTCTGTTTGTTTTATCGTTATTTATCTTGATCCATTCATATGGCCTCTCCCTCATTCTGAATGAATCAGAGTTATGCCTCTCTGGTTGGGCTAATGCTTACCTGAAAGGTAACTGATGAACTTCCAGAAAAACTAGATTCCTGATGCAAGCCAAATGCACACAGTTAGCCAGAGAAGTCTGACATATTCTGAAAAATAGGCTGAACATGGATATTACTGAAAATGTCCCCTCCATACTCATGTGTCAACTCAGATATTATCTGTCACAGCCACAGTCTTCCATGTTCCTACTGCCATGTCTGCTTCAGATGCTTTAATATGCATGTGAAATGAAGAAGAACCCAGTTTATTAAGGCAATGGCTGTAGAACATGTTCTCTGACAGACATGAAATTAAATATTTTTTATGATTTAACTGCCTTCCATGAGAAGCAACAGTAGCATGGTATCAGTTGACCTCTATCCTTGTCACATCTGAATAGTTTCATTGAAGAACTCTTATGTTATTATAATACAGAAATTTATTTCCTCACCTTTATTTTTTAAGACAATATTCTAAGAAACATAGGAATTGTAAGATGCAAGGGCAGCTTTTCTTCATTTTTTTCAAATGCCTGAATTCCAGATAAGTCAAGGATCTACCTGAATTGCATTTGGCCAATTCTTCAGAAACTGTGCAACTATGCCACCCTCAGACTTACTTAAATCTCTCATAAAGTTTCTCTTAAGCTGATACATTCCTAAAATAATGATGATCAATACTAATGCAAAAGAAAACAATGACAGATTGCCTTGTATTCCTAACAAATAAAGACAAAAAATGGAAATTTGTAAAATTTTAGGACAGATTTCTCCACTTAGGAAAGAAGAATGAAATCATTCATGCTTACACACTTCTAGATGTTTTGCATGTTGACAAAATTTCTAGCAGAAATCAAGCTTTGAGAAGCCAACTGTACATAAATAGGCTCCTTGCTGGCAAATTCTCCCAATCTCTATCTCTTTCCCTCTTTGATTGATTTGAAAAATATTTATCTTGTTTTTCACTAATTGTAAAAATCAAATTACTACCACTTATGTAAATTTGAAACTTTACTTGCTTCATAATATATCAAGCTATGTTAAATGGCTGTTATGGCTGGCTGTAGACCTACTCTCCCACTTTAAGTATGGGGGAAAAAAAGATAAATCAGGACCTCTCCAAAACTAAGTACCCTGTTTCTTGTTTCATCCTTAAGAAGAAAAGGGGTCTGCTCATTACTTAAAACACAGCTGATGAGAAAGTATCAATTTCAAAGTGACTTCCCAAAATTTTAAAGGCACTGTATCTCTAGTTTATATTTTTAATACTGTAGTTATCTTTATGATCTTAACAATACTGTTTTAGTGAGAAATTAACCTAGTCTCCAGCTGAACTAACTAAATACAGCAGTGAATAGAGAGGGCAATTCACTATTTCTCATTTGTTGACAGTATCCCAAACTCACTAGTGAAAAGAATACGAAGGTCCTCTTATGAACTCTTAAGTTGAAGGGAAGTTCACTATGGTGATTGCTGTCATAAACCCTTGAACTTTAGCCAGTCCACATATATTGATCCATATTCATGCACTTTTATAACCTGCATATCTCTAGGTTTGATCTGCTGAAACAACCTGGACTTTTCAATAAAAGGTGGATTTAGACAGAAATCTACTTAATAACGTTCTAGCTCATCAGTGCATGGAGCACGGTGCAGAATAAAAGAGCAGTGAGTTAGACTCCTAGCCCCTGAGTAATGATGGGAGACATCACAGTCTCTCAAACTTAGTGCTACTGGTATGACTGACAGATGTTAGCAGACCTCTAATCCTTTGGACACACGATAGCAGATAAACACACCACAAGTGTCATATGTTCCCTGCCTTCTTACAGCAGCTTCTAGGACTAGTCAGGTGCTGAGAGAGAGATCTCTAGAGTTATAGCTGCATATGTATATATATACAAGTAGAATGTCCTCGAGCAAAGCCACTCTGTGTATGAACAGGAGCCAAGAAACCAAACCCTCTGTTTCACCAATCACCTTCTCCTGTCTTCTGCATGCTTGAGGAGAAGCTGAGGGTCCAAAGAGAAAGCGAGTTGAAAAGAGATGATATATAAAAATTGAAGTTTCTGTTGGCCTGGGCTGCTTTCAGAGCCTCTGAAAGATGTGGAATGGGTTCTCTAGATGGACAGTGCACAAGACATCTGCTACAATGCAAGCTTTAAAAAAAACCCACTCTATTGTTTTGATTCAGAAGCTTTCTCTTGTTCATAGAGCTTTGTATAATCATATCAATGTGCTTTGAGTTGCAAACTGATGAGAAGAGCAATAATTAAGAGGGTATACCAAGTACATCTGCCTTAAGCAAAAGTAATTTGCAATGCTGAATTAATGTATTCTTTGTCTATCAGTGATATTTGGTGCCACATTTGCTTCTGTTATTGTTTTGGGCATATTTATTTATTCTGACTTATTCTGTCTCCCCTGAGTGTGTTATTTCCCCAATCTCACTTTCTCTTTTTTTCCTGAATAAATGCAAAAATAAATATGCCAGGAGAATGCCTCTCTGTGATACCCTACACAAAATCAAAAGCATTTTTTATTGCTATTTACTAGTAACTCATAAAACACACACATATCTTTTGACAGAGCCAACTGTTCTCTGAGATGTAAATAATTTTTTAAATAATTTTATTTCAGTATCATTATTTTCCTCCTAATTTTATCTATTTCAAGCTTCTTGTCCAGTATTGTTGCAATAAGCTTTCTCATGATTCCAATAGATGCAACTATTATGAGATCAGTTTAATTTTTTTGAGGGCACTGTTTTAGGTATTACTTTGCCTAAACCTGTCTCCTGAAGATCTTTCCACCTCACAGATTGGCAAAGGCTAAATCTGCAATGGGATTCAGGTGTTGAACTACAGGCTATTGTGACATTTTCAGTATCCTACCACCATCCTGTTTCCCAGTGTAAGGCATGAGGTGAGTTGGGTTCTTAGCAGTTGACTCAAAGCATCCAAAAGTGAGTGGAGAGCCCTCCACTTTAAGCTAAGGATATACACTGGTTGCATACACCATGTCCCTCACGTTAACTGAGTGTGGATTTAAACTGCAATAAAGTGCTTCCTTCCACTCCGGAGTCACATCTGGAAACCCTTTCCTGAATGAGGCACCTATACCAAGACAATAATTTCCTGAAAAATAAAATCTATGGGGAGATTTTGGTTCCATTAAACCCAGCTGCCTAGTGGTTAAAGCATATCTGACCACTTTAACTGCATGAAAGGATGTAGGTGATCTATGTTTAACTGTCTTTCCATGCCCCAGTCAGACCATAATCCTGCCTGTTGGGATAGTACACTAGCCATGAGAGTACAGTAGATTTTGGGAAAAAAATCCTAGTTGCTTTTAAAACCTTTTTGTATAAACTACTTACACATTCACTTGGAGAAAGGAGTAGGAGCTGGATTTCCCTGGTGAGTGATTTAACCACCAGGCATTCTAACTCCCTCTCTGGCCTAATGAATATTTCATATTTTATTCTGTGGAACAACATATTATGCAATCATTCAATTAAGCACTGTCTCATAATGCATATGCACAAGGTGTTATTCATGAATAACACCACTGAAGCTGAGAGGCTTGTTTTGTAAAATAAAAAATGCTGTTCTTCATTATTAAGCATCACATCTTTATCGTTCTGCTGTTGAAAGCAGAGCTCACGTTTGAAAACAGTGTATCAACCAGCCATTACTGAAAATATCACTAACTCCCAATTAATTTCCAAACCAGAATGTAGAGGTTTGGAGAAAAACAATCATGGTCTTTCTCCATCGCCTAAAGCACCCTCACCTCTCTTTAAAGATACAGCCAGCTTCAAGGAGAGGGAAGACACGAACTATGGTCCAGAGAGCAGAAATACAGAAATTACAAAAGACAGAAATGAATGAGAAAAGAAGAACAAAGAAAAACTGAAATTTCAGGGCCGAGAAAACCATGTCTTACAAATAACTTTTTTTTTTTAATTTTTCTCTGAACTGAAAAGATAATTAAGAAGTTGATGCCATTGCCTCATCCTCAGGAAAAAAGTCAAAGTAAGGGAAAGAGGAGAGGAAGATCTCAAGAAGGTACCTTATCTGGCAAAACTGTTTGCTATTTTTCAGGAACTTAGCTTGCTCTGCTTCCAAAGACCACAGGTGAAGACTGGAGAAGTCTATGAAGAAGAAACTACTTGAATAGTTGGCTTAACAAGAGTCAGAAACAGAAAATTTTGAGACCCTGATTTAAATCATCATACTAGAAAATTTTTACTTCTGTGTAAAGCTTGTACAATGTTTCTTAAAACACATTTAGTGTAATCTGCAAAGATTTAACCAGCCTTTTAATGGTATTCTGAAATGGATTGAAATGTACTGGAATCTGTCACAGATGGGTGGCTGGAGTAGCCATTCCATTCGGTTAGCTGGAATTCCATTTGGGTAGCTGAAGATACCTGCTAAACCTGATAAACAGCCCCAGTGCTCATGGAGCTTCCTCTAGGTCACAAACTTCTCTGAACATAAATGTGCATAGTAAGGTCTTGTGAGTCTGCCATATGACAGGAGAGAAAAATGTCAGGTTTGAGTTGTGCTAAGAAGCCATATTATAGTTTGATTTGTAGTTAAGGGAGAGACAAGGGGAGAGGAGACAGTTATGGGGACAGTAAGTGGGATCAATCTGTCCTTTAGGTCCTTTGTTAAGGTAACATAAGGTTGTGCATAAATATCTTCTTCTAGTGACAGAGCTATTAAAGGGCCTGATTCCCTATTACAGGAGCTCTTATGCTTCCAGGAGTGGGATTTGTGTGTACAGGAACTTAAAGAAGAGCTATGTTTATGTGTTTTCCATTACTCTTTTGTTTAGGAGGTAATTAAGTCTTTAAACTTTCAAATAAACATATGTTCATATGCAATTTTGACCCTGTAGAAAATAGAAAAATTATGACAGTAACATCAGTCAATTGCAATCATGAGTGTTTGCCATTCAGTACCACGAAGAGATGAGAAGACAGGATAGACAAATGCTTATAAGCTCAGCTATGGTTGCACAAAGATACAAAACTATCATTTTAAAGTCAGTTTTCTTTATATTTTAGTTGTATTGTATTACTAAATACTGTCATGAAATCAAGATCCTTGCTTTTTACATTTCCATTCTGCCCACTTTAAGTATACTAATTTGCTTTTTCAAGTTTTAAAGTATTCTAACCTTTTGTTGTCCTCTTTCAAAAATAGTCTGCTATAAAAAGTTCATATTGATCCTCTGCATTAATCCTTGATGAGAAGTCCTGCATTGAGCTAGTTTGGCCAAATTTCCTTTCCAAATTAAGTTACTCAAGGTCAAAACTACTACTGTTCAAGCCATTCTCTTCAAGCATCAAGTACAAAGCTAAACTTTCAAGACTTGTGAACTTGGAGTAGAAGTGCTATTATTCCATAAGTTCCCAAGTCTTTGTGCATTTCAGTTTTCACAAAAGTTATGCACTTGAGCAACAGAGAACTAAAACCCCACAATTCTATAATGAGAACTAAAACCCCCATGACTTTATTACATCAGTCAGTATTTTCCGAAAGCTTTAGAGAATACATTATCTTCTGAGATAGTTTTGCAGCCTACAAATGGCAAAATTTGAAAATTGCTGATATTATCAGTGATCATATAGAATCCATAAACACATTTCAGATTGTATTCAAGAGCATCACAAGTTTTGCTGTACACTTAAAAATGAATCCTATTTATGGGTTTCAATTAGAGTACTTCAGAAAGTGACCAAAACTGAAAAATCCACACAGTGCCTTGAACAATTTCATGAATTTTTATACCCATAGCTGTAGGCACTTCATGCAGGTGAGATTTAGTGCTAAATTTATCAAGTCAAAGGAAATCTTTTCCTCGCTGCATTGGTTAGGATCTTCCTCTGTAATCAGTCAGTAGTCAAGTCTCACATAATTCTGCACTGTATTTCTGGGAGGCGTCACTGTTTACTAAGTGATGCTATTCACTTTTAATGTGCAAGGTCTGTGGACACTTGAGCAAGGCTGAGAAATCCACAAGGTATCTAGTTCGGCATTAAATTATATTTAGGGGCCTAATTTAAGAATGTTATTTTATATTAATTAGCCTTTTAAGTTCATTTAAGGCCCTTAAAATTCACACAGACAGTGGGGCCTCTGTTTCATAATTATCTTTATAAAAGTATTCTGGCTATAAAAATAAACAAAACCAGAATCAGAAAGAGTGAAGATTATAATCTCCTTTCAGTATGTGTATTTAAAAGCATCAATGTTCACTCTTTTTTCCTCCAAAAAATGAGTTAATTTGCAATTAATAATTTACTACTAACTTTACTGTGTGTTTAATTGTAAATATTTTATACCATCCTTTTAATGGAAATTTTTTTCTTGAACTTATTTTAAAGTGATTTTATGCTATACAATGAGATGGAAAAATCACTAGTTTTGGCTTTCCCTTTGTTCACTTTTTCAGCAGAACTCTGTTTTTTTATTGAAGTGTTGAATCTCAGTAGAACCAAAACTTTTTCTGATTTTCAGGGGAAAAAAAATCCCTAGCCAGTATTTTAAACAAATATAATTTCCAAATATCTTAAAAATACTATTTTTCATCCTTCTTCCTTTGATAGAATAGGAAAAAAACCTTTTTTCTTTGTATCTCATCCTGTCACCACCACTACTTGAGGTTAACATATTGTCTGTCTACTTTTAATAGAAACATTCCTCATGTATTCTAACAAATCACATATATCTGAATTCTACATACAAAGCTGTAATTCCATTGAGAGTTTGTAGTGACATTGATAAATGATGTCACCAGAACCCTTTGCTTGAATTACAATCTTAATTATGTACACCTGGGTTCTTATTATTTCTTATATTATTTCTGTCATAGCACTATCTTGTCCTATTCTTACTCTGATGCTAATTTGTTTTATCAGTAGCTAAGGCACTGCAGCTTAGCAAAGCCTGTCCACAGTGTTTAAATAACTGTAAATTTCTTCCTTGTTATTGCTGTTTTAAAAACAGAATTCAGCAGTAAACAACAAAGTCAATGAGGATGACACAGATTTATGTAAAATTTTGGGGGCTTGTTTTTGTTTCCCATGGAGTTTTCTTAGGACTATCCAGCACTTCTGACTGCTTCTAGTTGCTTCATATCTCTTGAGAAAAGAAGAGCAAAAAGGTTTGGTTACTCAGTTATTTTTGTGGGAGAGGAATTCCCATATGGCTGAAAGTGGGAAACACTGTATTGTAAGCCTGAGAATGGGAAATGCAAGTTTCTTCTAGTTCTCATTCTCTTAGTTTTTTTTTCTATATTCACCTTGTGAACCTAATGAAGATTACTTTTGTCACAGAAAATATAAAAGACTCTGCTCTGAGTGCATGTGTGGCCAATGGAATCCCTTTTAAAAATGATCAATCAGGCTGTGACTTGCTTTGCTCTGGAAGCCCCTTGAAGAGACAAGCTTACAACAAAGGTGATTAAAAGCTCACAAATCCACTTTATCCTCCTAACATTTAAAAAATATGAAGAAAGCCTAGACTTTTAGGATATAACTTGTGCCTGTTCATTATGTTTATTTAACTTGAAGAATGTAGTTCCTATCTTGTACAATACAGTTACACACTTGCTAAAAGTTCAGAGCTATTTTTGAACTTAGTCTAGCCAGGCAAATGTATACATGAGCTGGGTCAGACTTGGAAAAGGAATTGGAAGATTTTGGTTCTTACAGCCATTTATTCCTCCTTCTTTCCCCCCCTCCCAAGTTTTCTCTTATTTCTATCTGTCAACAAAATATGAACTGCGTCCTCTAGAAAAATGTACATTTCTGCTTCCTTCATGGTCAGATTAGTTAGGACTGAATATTAACACTTGTCTTCCTACCCATCACTAATGATCACACATTCTTTTCTCTTTCTGCAATAGTAATCCTCAAAAGCATAAAACAATAAGAATGAAAACGCTCTGAATTTTGGACCATTCTACACTGGAGTATCAGGAGAAAAACAAAAATAAAGAGGTGCATGAACAGAAATCCAGACAACTCTATCATAAATATAATTCCTGTACCAAAGTTGTTTTAAATAAATTTTTACTTACCTTTTAGCTTAGTCAAGATGACTAGTATATTTATGGGCGTTATTTACTTGTATATGAACAATCACATATGCTCAACCCTACATTATAGAAACAATTAATTCTTAACTCTCTGCCATGGAAAATTTTTACTTATATTATTTCTCTTGCCAGTTATTACATTCATCTTTACAGTCTCAGATCTTTCTCATGAGATGCATAGGTCCAAATGAGACTTTGAACTTTTCCCATGCTGTTTCTTAAGCATTAGGTCTGTTCTGATGGCTCTTCCTGTTCCAGAAGTATATGACAAGTTCCTTCAGAAAAGATTCAGGCCTTCTTCCATTACCAGGAGAGACTCTAATTTTTACTGTTCCACAGCCTCTAAAATGTTAATTAGACTCTTATCAACTCTAGAGTTGTAATTCTGGACTCTGCGTATTTGTCCGTAAATCCAGCCTATGTCATTAATCATGACCTTCTGGAAACTGCACAAGCTATCACAACAGTGAAGAATACTGAAAACTCTAGGAAGGTGGTTCAAAAGCCAGCACTGTCAGGTCAGAGAAAATCTAAGCCTGCCTTTACATTTCTAACCCTTTATACACTTGGATCAGTTTTCAACAAACTTTTTCACACTTTGGAGGGATCTGCTTTTAAGGTCTTGGCATCCAAAGCTCACTTTGATTCCAGCCAAGGTTTGAATTGCATGCTAGTTGTTTTAAATATACACCAGCTAAATATGCACCAGTTTCTCATTCTGGTACACTTTACATTTTTGAGAGTGTATAACAAATCTTTTTCACTCCTTAGTTGATATATATGCATGTGTGCACACACATGAGAATTTGCATAGATGCTCTTTGTGAATGCCCTTTTTTTGTCATTCTAAGGTCTGAGACATGTAAGTTATTACCTAAAACTTGGAGTCCACTCTGAAACACAATTCAAATAAATAACAAGATGAAGCACAGATACTGTTATAAGCTGCTGGAAAGATTTGAAAAAGGTAAACTCTTCCTGGTTTACTAGTTTTACTTTGGTCTTTCTGTGATCTTCAGTAAAAAAAGTGATAAACTAGGGAAAAAATATTGCTGGAAACTTAACATACATGGCGTACTAGGCAGAGCTTAATACACATAAGGTTCCATAAAAAGCAGTGAGACAATAAACCTAAGTTAAATACTTGGAGTCCAGACCTCTAAAGTTCCATTGAATCAGAAGTTTTACAGAATCTCATTGCTAACATACATTTCCACACTTGGTAAAAATTCAAGTACAAAACTGACTCACACTAGAGAGAAGAGGCAGGGGAACAGATTCCTGTGGCGAGGATCCAGTTCTGTAATTTTCCTATTAATTTTTGTTTGTGGAGATAAAAGAAGTTCCTATGTAATTAGAGAACCTAATGGGACAGCTTCCTTATCATTTTAAAATGAATTCTGTCATTGGTGAATAATGCTTAGGGGTGGTTCATATAGAATAGGTATGGCCTGGAACAGAACTAAATGAAACTATCCCAGGGCTGCTTATTTTAGTTGTTTAAATGAAAGATAAATTATTTTTTTCCCTCAAAGACTATGAGTTAGGACCAAAAAACTATTCAGCTTGCTGTTTTAAGCAGGCACATGGACTTGCCTTCTCTGTTTATTGTGAGACACTCACTGATTTTTATTTTTTTCAGCTCAGTTATAAGACTATTTATAACTGGGATCCAAATGAAGGTGTAGAACTGACCAGTACTTCACTGTGCATTCCTAAGAGCACTTTGCTTAAAAAGTGCTTTGTTTTTTTCCTATATTTCTTCTTTCCCTGTCCTTTGTTTCCTTCCTTCAAAATACACTTTACCTGCGTCTTCATGTTAAAGCGAACTCTTTATTACACAATATATTTATTTTTCTTCCAAAGCCAAACGTGATCCTAATTAGGTAAGGGTCCCTTTAGTGTTCTATTACCACAAAACATTATTAATAACAGCAACAGCTGAAAGAGAGCAGTGATCCTGCAATCAAGCACTTATGATCTGTTCTTGGGCATGAGAGGTACATAAATGCTCTTTGGGTTAGATTCCAATGTCAGTTACCCAACTACAAATTAGATTTAACTCCACTGAATTTAAGTGTTTTAATTTGTCCATGCCTTTGTCAGGGGGGCTGGAACTAGATGATCTTTAAGGTCCTTTCCAACCCAAACCATGCTATGATTCGAGGAATGCTAATACAGGTGTAGACTTCATCAGATTTTTTACATTTTTTATTAAATAGTTTGCTTCAAAACTTTGCCATGTTCACCACTGAGTCTTTTGGGGGTGGGGAAGTGCAATCTCAAAAGCTAATATTTTTAATTATTTTTTTAATGAGTCCTATACAGTTATTTTTTAAAAAATAATAAAATCAAGAACAAACTACTATATCAGTTAGTGTCCTGGAAGACATATTTTCCAGTCTTTCTTTGAGATTCTAAAATAAAACAATAGATACGCAGAATACACTGGTCAGTGGCCCTTGCCCTGAACATGTCTGGGATACAGGTTCACTCAGTCATCAGCCAAAGCTGAGCCGCACTCAGTTGTACTGGGTGGCTGCTGCCTCCACACTTCACAGTAGGAAGAAAATTATTTCATTCCTTCCTGGTTAACTCAAGATGAAGAAATGGGAAACGTCCTAAAAAAAAATTTCTCACAAAAAGGGAGACGACAAGGATTTGGAAAGTCATTTTACTCATTTCTTCATTTCCCATAAGTTGTGTGTTTGCTATTTTCTCTAATTACTGTGAAGAACAAACTTCTTTCCTCCACATTCCTCCTCCTCCTCATTATGATTTCCCTACCCTTATGGGGCCCAAAACCAGAGACCCTATCATTAATCTTCTTTCCCAAAGTGTTTAGGTCCATGAGGTCTGGCTTTAATTACCAGCCATGAGAAGAATTAATTACCCTGGCCTAACAAAGACAGGATGGTGGAAGGAGGGCAATGTTGTGAGGATCTGACAGTGCACATTTTGGCATTTTAGATATTCCCATTGCTACTTCTCTGTCACTTGAAAAAAAAAAAAAAGATAAAAAGACAAGTATGCAGTAGTTATTCCAAGTTTACAAATGCCTCCAAAGATACCTTTGTGGGAATTAAAGTTCTCCTTGTGGGAGTACTTGTAGAGTGTAGAGCAAATAGATAGCACTTCAACAGTGAATGCATAATCATAATGAGTTGACCAGTGACTCAAAGCTGAGCTATGCAAGCCTAAAATAAGTATTACAAATGTGGGAGTCTATAATTCTCAATCAAGGGACAAAATGTTTCACTGTTTTAAATGTAAAAAAGCTACTTATCCTTCTGTCAGCTGAAGTTGGATGTGGCCACATTACTTCTGAAAAGTTCTCATTTTCTGTGGAATTGCACTAGTTCATAGTACATTTAATATCTCCAAAATACACTCTTTTGCTTTAATAATCTTCTTACTTAGCATGAAAATCAGACTGGAACACTGATTTACAAATAAACACTCTATACTGAATGGAGCTACAGCTTGTTGAAGTTAAAGCACTTCAATATTTGTGTCAATAAAACATGTTGTTCCTCTGATCTTTCTATGTACCCAAATGAATTGACTGAGTGCTTTAAAGTATTGAGTATATCACAGGAATAGCATTTAAAGGGAAAGATGCGTAGGGCAACTTTATGTTACTTAGTAACTGGGACAATAACATTAAAAATTATAAGTGAAATGGGAGCCACTCCAGGAAAAATACATAATATCTGAGCTTGCAGTGATAAAACATCTTGCAGAAGGCTTGAAAGGGCTAAAAAGTTTGTAACTTCTCTGGAGAATCTGGCATTCAGCTATTGAATTTGGTGGTTGTTGGGTTTTGGTTGGTTTTTTGTTTGTTATATTTTATTGGGGTTTTTTTGTTGGTTTGTTGGTTTTTGATTTGGGATTTGTTTTCTTTTCTGGCTGAGAACTGTGGCATAACACATCTGACACAAATGTGGCATGGTACGGAGTTTCTGCTCAAGAAGTCATCAGCTGTGCCTCATCTTTACCTATTCTCATAGCCTGGGCTGTATCATCCTCTGCTGTACTCCCAGTGTATTCAGCAGTTCTTCCTTAACTGAGGAATCTCTATTAGGGATATTACTGATGCTTGGAAGACACCACACTGACAGGTATCATCAGTCATCCCATGCTGCTTTGTGATTTTAAGGTATCTGAAGTGGTCCGAAAAGTAAGAGCTAGATAGCTGGGCTTCCAAAAGCAATGTTTCTATGCTAATGTGCTGCTCTGCCTGGTTTAATAGATGCTTCTTTCTACCTGGTTTTAATGTTGACTTCTGAAAAACAGTGGCTCTTTTATTGCCTGGAATGGTGTGCAGCAAGCCCTTTCATCCTAAGTGCAATGTCTGCAGAAACTATCTTGCTGTGCCATCACATCCAAAGCCTTGGATCATCTTAACTCAACTGCTAGGTATTTTGTGCTACATTACTAATTACTGCAAGGCTTTTAACATTCATTTCTTTCAGTAAGATTTGTTCCACATATTATGATTCCTGACTCAGTCTATGATGCAGAATGAATCATATTTAATTGTCCCAGCCATGGTAATTATGTTATGAGAATTAGGAACATAGTGTCTTTCTGGTGAATATTACCTATGCCTTTCTTTAGGGCCTGATTTCTCTTTAATTGATTTTGTTGGAAGGCTTAGCCTTTGGGGGATGCCTTTCAGGGTCAGAAGAATTTTTACATCATGGGAGCTTGTATGACAAAGTATCCTGTGGGGTTTATACATAGTGTGAAAATAGCTGTGTCATCAAAGTTCTTAGTCTGAAATTGGGTTTGGTTTTGTTTTTTAAATACACCTAAGTTTCTCAGATTGCATAGAGAAAGTATTTTCAATTTTCTTGAATGCCTCCCATCGTTACACCTTCTGGATGACAGACAAACTGTGTTGAAGAGCTGCTGTGTCAGTGGTTTATGTTGCAGCTGACTCACTGTAAGTTTCATGCACGCACAAAAGTTAACAGAGAAATGTTTGTTGATTTGCTGAGTGCTATGCAATCCTTCATGGGTCTGAAGAGATCATCCATCTGAAATCACGTACAATAAATACATTAAGTAACACATTATCTAATGCTTTTCCAAGTCTTATCATTAATGAATGCTGCAAGTATTTGTATATTCAGGTTGCTGCTCAACCTCCTGTGACAGATAAGAATCAAATTACTCTACCATGAATGGCCTGTAAGAGACCTGGGGCAGTAAGTGATGCAGTCTGTGCAATGGCAGAAAGGAATGCACGTTTCTGAGCTCAATTCACTTTTGCTATAGGCAAGCATTTATTTTCTGCACTGTATGAAAGAATAAAAGAAGTTTTATGACCTGTGTAATGCAGAAAGCAAAACTCTCTGGTCATAATTGTCTATGAATTCCAGACTAGGGATTCCCAGTCTACAAATCCCAGCTCATCTGTTTTTCCACCCTCCTTTTCATGGGACCAGTGGTCATTGGGAGTGGTGACTTTCATACACACAATCATTTCTCCACTTCCTGTGCCTGAAATTTAGTGAGGTGTGAAACATTAACCCTTCCTGTTAGATCAACTAGTGCAACACAAGGAATATGTGTATCATAGGCAATGTGGGAAGGAAGAAAGGAAGGAAGGAAGGAAGGTAGGAAGGAAACATTTCAAAAATCCCTTAAAGGAACAATGGAAAATGAAATGTTTTTGTCATGTAAGATCCATAACTCAGTGAACAGAGAAATCAACTAAAAGATTTATGAAAAATATCTTATAGAAATAGTTTGTAAATTATATTTTAAAAAGTAAGGTAGCAGTACATGACAGAATCAAGAATGATTTAAAATAAATTTCAGGTGTGCTTTCTTCAACACTTAATTACTCTGTTCAACTTACTAGTGTGTCTTCAAACTAAGCACTCTGTTTTCTTATTTTGAATTGAAAACAATGATTTAAAACAGTGACCTCTAATGCCTCACT